CTCTATCAATCTTATCACAGTCAAATGGCAATCATCAAACAGATTTATCAAAGTCGAAGAAGAGCCAGGGCATTTCATTCTACGTTAAACAATCTCATCCAACATTATCACCTTCAGGACGATCTTGGTATACCTGACCCCTTAAACAAAAACGCTTTTGCGTTTTGTCTACGAAATATTGGCGGAGGACGTCGAACCATCTTACTCTCTTTTCCACAAGAGCACAATCATAATGCTCGTCTGGTAGAAATTATGCTCTTTAAAAACAATGAACCTCATTACGATCAAACTCTTGGATATGAAAATGTAAAGGTGGTAGAAATGGGGACTCTTTTTGTTCAAGAGCTTAAACAGTTAAGGCAAGCACCCGAGTGGGATCTATAAATAAAACATGCTACTTGCTTGTTTAATGATAGAGGCAAAACCAAAGCGATAACATGACGATGAGAAGAAAGAGACGAAGAACAAGGCGTCGAAAACAGAAAGGAGGCATTTTGCCATCCTCTCTCATGCCATCCATTGTTCCTCGGCAACTGAGACTACGAAGACGTGGTCAAAGAGGAGGATTCTTACCCCTGTTTCTCATTCCTGCTGCTATTGCTGCTGCCAAAGCTGCCGCTGGAGGTGCTATAGCCGCCGGTGCTGGATATGGTGTTAAAAAAGCTCTTGAAAATGTATAACTTATGACCATCTTTAAACCGTAATTCTTTCTTGTAATCATTTTCCAAAATAAACGTTTTTCTTTCAAAAATTTTGTTTTTTGTTTTTTACTTGCGCGCGCATGTAGTGACGTCACCTCATCTTTTGGTTTGCGCACGCACTTTTTTTTTTTCGTTCATTCAAGATTGGGCTTGAGCTAGCGCGCCTTTGCACCCCCTCCCCTCCCCTCCTTTCCCCTTTGCTCTCGTTTCCATGGCTATTGCATTTCTTGAATCTATGAATATAATGAGTCGTCTATCCATAGTCCCCACATACTACTATTCTCCCATATCCTTGCAGTCGTACTTCTGCCACACATCTAATGCATGCTGGTACTCTTCGTCTTTTATACCAGATTCTGTTAAAGTGCTGTAGAAATTCTTCTTTGGTGGTAGGGGCTCTTCAAACTTGCCCCAGCTGCTCATGTACTCATATGGGTAAACTCCTTTCCTTTCCGCGCCGTATTGACTGGAAATGGGGAACTCCGTGTTGTATTTAACCAAGTTTGCTAAGGAGTCCGCCATAAACTGCTGCGAATCTAAGAACTTTAGCTTGCCCACAGTTACGGACATGTACCTTTCTTTGTTGTTGGGTATGCACTTTACTTCGGAGCCGTCTGTTCCTTGTAAGAGTAAGTGACTGTCGTAGCCCCTTACGTTGTGAAAGAATACGGGTATTTCCATTTCTGGATCTACTTTGAAGTTTATGTTGCATTTCCAATGAGCCGCTCCTCTGTATTTACCCCTGATGTGGCAGTGATCTCTAACCTTATCCACATAGAAATCCTCAACGAATGCTTTATGACAATGAATGCAGTGGGTGGAAGGCTTGTTGGGCTTTTCCTTGCATACCTACCACATTTAAAATGAGCTTCTCCTAGATACTTTCCATCTTCGTCCCACGCTTTNTTACCACAACAAATATACTTATTTGGCTTAGTAGGTACAAACTTGGGTTTCAAGCACTTTACACAGAAATCATAAGCAAACTCTTTACATTCTTCACACTCCATATATAGACTAACATATTTAACTACATAAACACGGGATGCGGGTAATCGCGGTACGAATCGAGGAATTCACTTTAGACGGGTAATCCTCCGGTGGTCGTTGCGCTGGAACCCCCATCCCCTATACTACTGCAATACTTTAAATAAACAAAATTATATGAGTAACTACAAAAAAAGTGCTCAAAGATGGAGCGCTCAAAAACACGTTCGCTGTCCACGGTGTCTCTGCCCACCATTCCATTTCTATGTTATAACATTCATAAATAATATAATTACTATTGGATTGATTTTATTTAGCATATTTACATAACTTTTGAGAGAATGGAAGTAATTTAATGATATTATAAGTATATAATTACATAATTCATATATTATTTTTTATAGTAACTATCTCTCCGTCGTGTCAGCCCCTGGCCTAAACTTTTCGATATATTTTTTCCAGTCTACACACAAATGGCCTTTTTTATCTGCCTTCTTTATCTCTTTTTTTCCTATAGATTTCAATGCATGTTTTTTAAAAGAAGTGCACCATTGCTCTCACCAATTCAGAAAACTTTTCCTCGTTTACGATATCAATGTAGATATTTTTCTTATCACTTGCTGCCAATGCATTTAGGAGCTCTTTCTTAATTTCTTCCAAGTTTATTCTTGCATTTTCTATTAATCAAATTAACTCATTATCTTCCACTGCTCTTTGTTTTGCTGTATTTTTTCGAGAAACTTTGCTTTCGCAACTTTACGATTGGTTTTCCGCGGTGATTCAACATTACTTGAGCATTCACTTCTTTCCGTATCACTATCGTCACTATCGATATTACTTGATGATCAACTGTCGCTTAATTCATCCGAAGACTCTGATTCACTTTCATCGTTCACCAACCGAGACTTTTTGTTTACACTTACTTCAATATAGCGTTCATCAACAAAAGTATATTTCGGGACATTTTGAAACCGCCATTTTTGTTTTTGCCAGCTAAAGTTCACAGCCATCCAAACAACGAATCAGCGCAGAGCAAGTTATTTCGATGAATCTGATTGGTCGAACGTCTCTGCATGGTCACTTCCGGTGCTGACGTCAATTTTACTAAAAATAGCTCAGACGTAAAACACATCGGACGCCACCCCAATACTTGATGGACACTTCTAGTTATAAATAGCTCAGACGTAAAACACATCGGACGCCACCCCAATACCTGATGGACACTTCTAGTTATGAACTTCTGACATGGCTCCGTATAGTCTAAAGAAAACTAAATGCACAACTGCGTGAACTCGGGCTTGTACATGTGGAAACCTATGACTATGTATAAAGAAATGACGAAAAGAGAAGTTTTTATTTTGAAGAACATAGAATAATGAAAGTTCACAATTTTTAGTAAGACATTGTTTCTTTTTCACGTTGTCTCATAATGAACAAAAATTGGCTTCCTCTCATGATAGTAATAATTTTTTTATAAGTAGGGTGAGAAGTAGTCAATTAACTTCAACCTTCAAAATAACTCATTTTCCATAAAAAAATAAGGAAAATTTAAAACGGGACGATTTACATGCCACATTTTCTCAAGTGGAAATGAATTGAGGTTTTTGAAC